GCATTTTATGCGAGCAATATATATATATATATATATATATATAAACTCCCCAGACAGGCGAAAACCTACCAGTTTCACACACGTTCTCTGCCACCTCCCTCCATGCCTGGTTCCTCCGGTTTGGTTCTTTACGACCAGAACTATTTACCGGGATACAAACCGGAGGAACCAGGCATGGAGGGAGGTGGCAGAGAACGTGTGTGAAACTGGTAGGTTTTCGCCTGTCTGGGGAGTTTATATATATATATATATATATNAATTAATGATTCCCCTCATGGGGACCTCCAATTTGTCCCCATAAGGGAAGTGAGTCCCCACACGTGACTGTGTAAACAGAAGTGTAGGATCAGCAGGATTTAACTCTCTCTGACAACAACTGGGTCACACGCTAACACTGTTAGGATTTCAATCCCACACACATTCGCATAGACATACATTATAAACACAGCTTCGACCCACTTATCAGAGGCTAATGAAACATGTCAGATCACACACACACCTCTGCTTCTCACTCTCTTGGTGCCACATTTAACCTGAGCACTCATAGGCCACACAGAGAGGAAATGACATATAGGGAAGTGGGGGGTGTTAACGTGGTGAGTGGTCACTTCCTGTTTACCTTAGCACCTTCCCTCCTCCTGTCGATCTCTCTGTACCCCGTCCTCCACTCTCATACTACTCTGCTTTACTTAATGTTCAGCATTCACTCCAAAAACGAGTGTCTTATATTCAGCTTTGTATTGATGATGGGGATTAATAATAAAAAATAAGAGGAAACTGGAAATATTTGACTGGTTACAATCTATTTAAAAATGTGAGACACTCACCCGCGGAAAATCTGAATTTAGAAGATGATTTCCTCTATTTCTTATATTTCATTATATTAGGATGTGGGTCAAAAGGTCAGCATGGAGTCTGGTGAATTTAAAGGGGCCCTATAATGCTGAATTTTAGTACTCTGTGTCCCTACTGTGACATGTCTCCATGCTTTAATGTTCAAAAAGCTCCTTATTTTTCTCATCAATGCTGAGATGTCCCGCCCCTTAGCCTATCACATACAATGTGTTAGAGCGCTAGCCAATAGAAATGCGAGTGTTACATAGTGATGTCACTATGTTCCTGAAGTAAACAAAGGAGTCTAATTAAGGCGTATCATGAGGGGGAGAGGGAACGCAAGGGACTTTGCAGACCATTTACATGCTCAAAAACCTAAATAACGCTACGTCCACACAGCAGCTTTAAAAAAATCTTCCAACGCTTCCAACGCTTCTCTGCCCATTGACTTTGAATGGGGGTGACGTCACTTTGCCTCGCTTTTCGCCGAACTGCATTGTGGGGAAGCAAAGCGAAGATTTCTAGGATTTCAGGATTCAAAAGTTGAGCAATGTTCAACTTTTGAAGCTGAGGTGGAA